CATCGACGCCAGAATTCGAGGCCGCACCGTACCTTCTCCCTGCAGACATTGATCCCGCTGACTTTTGGGCAGAACATTCTTCAGATCCAGACTGCTTTGAGGGCATGGGCCGAGCCAGGTTTTGGATTCAGCCGACTTGGCGAATCCTATCTTTTGTGCTTTCGACATCTTTCTTTGGGAGGCCGTTGAACACGGATCGGGTATACCCCGATGATTTGATTGTCTTCTGGAGCCTGCACACACGCCGGGAGGTGAATGTGTCTGTCTTTGTGGCCCGATTTCTCTACAGTCAGTCCATGGGGAATCGGACGCACATTGTCTGTGGTTTCGTAGTCACCATACTCTTCCGATCACTCGAGGGATCGGCGCCCATTCCACGAGCTTAGATGATGATGCGAGATTTGGATGCCGGCATGCTGAGGAATGCCCACATTCGTAGGAGGTTGGGAGCTGGCTCTACCGAGAGCAACGCCGCTTCCTCATCTGCGCCCTCGACATCAGGAGCATCTTCGCAGGTCTCGTCTAGGAGGGCCACTCGCCGCCGACCCACTCCTCAAGCCACCCCAGCTACGACCCAGGCTGATCCAACCCCTGAATGGGCTAGGAGGATCCTGGAGCATCAGGATACCATCCTGCAGAGGATGTCCGAAATCGGACAGCAGCAGGCATCCCAGGCTGAGAACTTTGCTCAGCTTCGAAGGACCTTTACTAGCTTTTACTCGGATGTGCACATCGGGCTCACCCCTCGTTCTCCTGAGGGCAACGATCCATCCACCTCAGTTCCTCCTCCTTCTTGATCTTCATATTATTTTCTTTTGAAAACTTTTATTTCTTTTCGTTATGAGCAGGAATTGATGATCAACTGGATTTGTTGGAACTTCTTATTTTCCGCCGGTAACATTTACTTATACACTAGCTCTATTTCTATTTCAATCAACTTCTTTTGATTTATCGATGTGTGAGTTCTTTTGTTATTAATCAATCATTTCAACCAGTATTATACTCCTAACATTTTTTTTTCCCAACTGCGGGGACGCGGTTGTGTTCAAGTGTGAGGAGGACAGTCACTTGCAATCACTTGGTTGAAATGATTGAATGAAATGTGTTTTACTTGCATACTTGTAGGCAACTTTGGTTTTAGCATAATCATCAGTCTAATATTGAATAGTTAATTGATAGGGTGTCAAGCATTTAAACTGAGAATTTCTAAGACTTTGGCAAACTCCTATTTTTACATGATTTTTTT